TTTTTTTTTTTTTTTTTTTTTTTTTTTTTTTTTTTTTTTGTTTAGTTGAAACAAATCAGGACTGCACTTGCTATTGCTTCACTGTTGAATCGTGTACTGGTAAGAACACTTGAATCTGAGGGAATGCTTTTAAGTTTTGTGATAGTTTATCCACAACTTATGTATGGACGTTCTATGGTGAAACATTCATGCTCGAGAGAAAATACTATATTTTGTCGGAAAGAGGAAAGTGTAACACGATTGAGGAACTGATAGAAAAGAAGAGGGGAACGAAACATTTCTTATAAGGGTGTGAAAACCTTTTCCTAGCAGACGTGTTTTAAAACTGTGAAGCTGACGGTGATACGTAGCGGGCCAAAGCGGACAATATTTGCTAGCTGTGGGCTTGGGTTGTTACAAATGATTAGAGCTAGACACTAAGTGGTGTGCCAGCGAGGATGCTGGGCCACCAAGGGGGGTGGGTTGTGAGATCCCACATCAGTTGGAGAGGGGAACGAAGTATTCCTTATAAGGGTGTGAAAACCTTTCCCTAGCCAACGTGTTTTAAAACTGTGAGACTGACGGCGATACGTAACAAGTCAAATCGGACAATATTTGCTAGTGGTGGGTTTGGGCTGTTACAAATGATATTGGAGCCAAACACCTAGCGGTATGCCAGTGAGGACGTTGGGCTCCCAAGGGACTCTCTTAGTTGGAGAGGGGTACGAAGCATCCCTTATAAGGGTGTGGAAACCTCTTCCTAGTAGATGAGTTTTAAAATCGTGAGGCTGACGGCGATATGTAACGGGCTAAAGTGTACAATATTTGCTAGCGGTGGGCTTGGGTTGTTATAAATGGTATTAGAGCCAGACATTGGGCAGTGTGCCAGTGAGGACGCTAGGCCCCAAGGAGGGTGGATTGGAAGATCCCACATCGGTTGGAGAGGGAAACGAAACATTCCTTATAAGGGTTTGGAAGCCTCTCCCTAGCAAATGTGTTTTAAAACCGTGAGACCGATGGTGATACGTAACGAGCCAAAGTGGACAATATTTGCTAGCGTGGGCTTAGGCTGTTACAAATGATATTAGAGTCAGACACCAGGTGAGTGGATTATGAGATCCCACATCGGTTGGAGAGCGTAACGAACCATTCCTTATAAGGGTGTGAAAACTTCTCCCTAACAAACACGTTTTAAAACTACATTTCTGGATGTTGTTGTCCTTGCAGCTACTTAAGAAATTTCGTCTATAATTCGTTCATTTTTTCTCACTTGTGAACTATAGATAATGCCTCCACTGTGGTGCCGGTTAGACAAGCTATGGTATGGACATCCTGGAGTTCTTCAGGGTTCTGTGACTCGACAGCCTTTCATTTGCCCGTTGGACCACGTTTTTGAGGTAACCTCCAAAATTTTGAATAACAGTTAATATTGTCTTGATGAGCTTTTCACCACAAGGCACCGACCAGAATGAAACTCTACCTAGATGTGTCCCGGATCGCACTCGGTATCATAACAATTCATGCATAAACCTTTTGGGACCTGTAATCCAATTATCTTTTACTTATCTCGACCTACCGACCCCAAATGAAGTGGGGAGGGATTCATTTATAATGTCGAGCCTACGTATTCTATAACGTATGGATTAAAGACGTGATAATTTAAAAACCGATGCACTGATGTTCTTGCTCGTTTTTCTTTATGCCGAGCAGATTAATGTGATGTTAAAAGAATTACCAATGGAGGAGTTTGGCCCAGGAATTAACTTTAGAGAGTATTCTTTCTTGGACAATCCGTTGCTTCCCAAACAGGTTAGTATCATCTGTGCTTGTTATAGGAACTGATTGATAGCATTTGCTGATGAACTGTTAATATGTGTTTAGGTGAAAGAATCATGGCTTGATGTTCAGCTTTGTAAACAAGAAAGTGAAGGTTGTCATGCATCAAATGATACAGTACTACCAGGTGTGCTTAAATTTCCTAAGGACAGCAATGAAGACACGGTAAGTGGCACTTTTGACAATATGAACTTTTTTACTGCTCGAAGTTTACCCTAGTAAAAAAGATTTCTGTCGTCATAACATGAAGATTTCTGTCGTCGTAACATGAAGATGTAGTACGTAGCTTGGATAAATAGAACTTTTTACTGCTCAAAGTTAGATTGCTATAACTTTTGACTGGTTTGTAGTTAGAGGAATATAATAGGGACACTTTTCACTGCAGCCTTAGAATAGCTTGTGTGAGATCCCACATCGGTTGGGGAGAAGAACGAAATATTCTTGGAAACCTCTCTCTAGCATGCGTGTTTTAAAACTCTTGAGAGGAAGCTCGAAAGGAAAGTCTGGTATTAGAGCTAGACACCGAGCGATGTGCCGGCGAAAAGGCTGGGCCTCGAAGGAAGTGGACATAAGGCGGTGTGCTAGCAAAGACGCGAGCTCCAAAAGGGGTGGATGGGGGGGGGAAGAGTCTCACATCGATTGGAGAAGGGAACGAGTGCCAGTGAGAACGCTGGGCCCTGAAGAGGGGTGGATTGTGAAATCTCATATCAGTTGGGGAGGAGAACAAAACAGTATTTATAAGCTCGTATTAGCATACGCGTTTTAAAAACCTTGAGGGAAACCCCAAAGAGAACAATATCTGTTAAGGGTGAGCTTAGACCGTTACTGTTTGTTTGTGACCAAAAGAATATCTTTTGAAATTTTTTTTGGAGATAATAACCAAAAGAAAACAAGAACTTGTTTGTTAACATGTTGTGAGGTCTGTTGAACAAGTTTTAATCGACGTGCTACTTTATGGAACGTTTGGCTGTTAAAATCGAGGTTCTCGTTTTGCTTTAGACATCTGTTGATGCATTCTAGGAATCCCCTTTTACTTGTAAGCTAAGAATTCCATCTCTCCATTGGACTTAGTGTATTATATATTTGATGTTTTTCTTGTATAGTTGAAGGCAATATTTTCCAAATTCAAGGATGTCAAAGTCATCCAGTTCTCCACAATGCAAGATGCCTTCCCTGGTTTCTCTGATAAGGTAACAATATCTTACCTCTTTGATTCCTTTGACTAACTATCAAGTCTTAATACACACAAACTAATTTGATCTAACAGAAAAGAGAAGAGAAGTTCAGGAACCGTGTCAAGCGTTACGTTGGGATATGGTGTTGCGTGGAGAATGCTGCACCAGGCCATGTATTTTATGACATGTACTGGGATGAGAAACCTGATTGGAAACCGCACCCACCTCGAACGCCCGAGGAAGATCGACCTCCTTTATAAGGGCAACGGTGAGAGATTTTACTTGAATCTAGAGGCAAAGAAGACAAATTCTCAAGGATATTTTGTTTATTACCCTGTGAGGATTCAACGCAGAGGCTTACTTGGGATTTTAATGAAGGTCGAAATCGAGTACAGGTATTATTCGAGGTCGAAGTCAAGGCTACATTTTTAGCTCATGTTCTCATGGATAGCCATAGAGTTAAAAGAAAACAGAAAGGTTTAATTTAGTTCCCACTTTTTCCATTTGTTAACTCAAAAAGAAGAATGATCTGTGAGGGGAAGTTCTAGACTTTATACACTTAAATAAAGAGGTATATTTCACGGAGTTCTAACTTTTGCATCAATATTATAATATCTTAATCAGTTGAGGTAATGCTCGAGTAGCTAGAAAAAACATGTCTTCGAACAGATAACATGTTATGGTACTAATTTTGTAGAACATCACACACTCGAGATAAAATGCTCCAAAAAGATGATATGAAAAAGAAGATTGAGATGGAGAAACAAAAAAAGGACACATATAATAAAGTCCACTCATTCCTCTAAAACTTGAGTGAAAGAAATTGGCAGATTACAAAATCTAAAATGTGGAAAATACAATTTGTTCCTCAAAATGTTAGCAAATCTAATCAAATACACAATTTCAGGAGCAGGAGGACAAACAAGTGATTGACATTCAGACTTGCCTTATGATGATGACGAAGAAAACCGTAGAATTGTAAAAGAAATATACTACACGGCAAAATCAAGAAGGTGCATACCCTGTGTGCTTTGAATTGAAGCAAAATAAGCCAAAAGCACAGATTCTACAAAATGAAAGCATCCTCTCCCCTTCTGCACCTCTTCCAAAGATTAAGATTCCATGATTTGGCTCCAGAAGTGCCCTCTATAGGTTAAAAAACCAGCATCTATATCTGCAAGTAAACACAAGAAAACTACATTTTAGTATGGAAAGAAGTAAGAGGGTAAGGTAAGTTGAGAGAATTTGTGGAGGAGGTATGAAGAATTACATCAAGAAAATTCTTAATCATCCAAATAATAATATGAGCCTGCTGACTTTTGCTCCCGATCCTTTGCGGAGTCGACCTTGTTAATTCTTGGCCTGAAATTTGTTGGATCTCTTCTAAATGTAATATCGAGATGCTGCGATCAATCAAAAGAAGACACGTCAATGGCCATCCCTAGATATGGTATAATACTAAAAAAGGAACGAATGTGATTCGGGGATTAGAAGAAGCGCGTCTTACAGATAAGAAGAGATTCATTCCAGTCAACAACGACTGAGGACAATTAGCAGTACAATCAACTGATGGCTGACCCTCGTAAACAATAACTCGATCTGCTAGATAAGTTGCCATAATAAAATCGTGTTCAACCACAAAAGCCGTCTTTTTTGCATGAAGAATAAATCTCTTGATGACTTTTGATGCAACAATACGCTGCTCAGAGTCAAGGTAAGCACTCGGTTCATCTATCAGATAGATATCCGCAGGCTGCAAGCATTACAATAAAACAAATAACTATCATTTCCCTGTAAATATTCCTGACTATCATATTAAAAAAAAAATTGGCACAGAGAATAATATTTACTCTCAAGTCTCATGCATATACTAAAGTATTTGACAGGCAAAGAGATTTTTTTGGACCCTAAACACAAAAGCATAGGTGCAACCTAACTGCTAATACAACTTGCCGATGATATTTGACAGGAATACTAAAGTAATTGTACCTTTCCAAGGCAGAGGCACAACGCAACCCTTTGCAACTCTCCTCCAGAAAGATTCACAACTTCTTGGTCCATTAATTGTTCGATAAGCAAGGGTTTCATTACATCTGAAACAAATTGCGGATGCATGTAGGACTCCCTTATTTTCTGATGTAACAAATGCCTGACAGTGGATTGAAACTTAGGACTAATCTTCTGGGGCTTGTAGGAAACGTTAAACTCAGGAATCTCAACATCAGAGTTTTCGACAGAATCAGGTTTCAACAAACCAGCCTGCAAATGTAGTCAATGGTGGTATATGCTTAGGAAGAAAGAGATACTTAATCCTTTGACATTCACTATTTACTACTATTAAAAAGAAAAAAGAAAAGAACTAGTAAATAAGTAATGGAACGTCGAAATACCAGCATACGAATAAATGTTGTCTTCCCTGTACCATTTTCACCGAGCATCACAATAATCTGTGAATCAGTAAATTCACCCTCTACCACACGAAGCTTGAAATTTCCTTGAGTTTTACTCATGGTTGGGTATTTATATCGTGCATATGTTTCGATTTCCTCCGCACTTTCTTGAGGAGTCTCAGCAACCTAGAAGAATAAAAAAGTAAGAACAAATTGTGATGATATAAATGTTCCATTCTGGTGTAAAAAGTCAGCAGAAACACCACCTTGAATGTAAGAGATTCATCTCTAAATCGTAGATTTTCTGTGGGAACAAACCCAGCCAAGAAGATGTTGATTCCTTCTCTAACCGAGAAAGGAAGGGTAACGACTCCATATGCACCCGGTTTCCCATAAAGACAGCAAATGAAGTCAGACAAATAATCCAAGACACTAAGATCATGCTCCACAACAATTACATAGCTGCAAAAGGATGCATGAACCACGTCAAACTAACATAGGAGAGATGAAAATGCTAGGAATATAATAAAAAGAGACAAAACGTACCTATTGGGCCTGAGCAAAGATCGAACCACTTGAGCAGCTTTAAGTCTCTGTTTCACATCAAGGTAACTTGAGGGTTCATCAAACATATAAATCTCTGCATTCTGTATGGCAACAACAGCAATGGCAAATCTTTGAAGTTCTCCACCAGACAGGTCACCAACATTCCGATCTATAACCTGATTAAGTTCAAGATCACGACATAATTCTTGCTTCATATCCCTCTCATCTTTTTGCTCTAGCACCTGACCAACATTCCCTTGAACTGCTTTCGGAATGTGATCAACATATTGGGGCTTTATGATTGCCTGACATAAAAGTAAAAAATGGGTCGTTATTAATGGCCAGTATAAGTTAACAATAAACTTAACATAGTAGATTCAAGAGTAAAACAAACTAGCCCGCCCATTCCATGCATAGGCTAACACACGCTGCAAAGATTGGGGAAGGTTTTGTAACCCCTTTGGATTTTGACACCCTTGTCTAGTACATTTGCATCGGTCCAGAAAAGTTTATCTGTACCAAAATGAGCGACTTTGATGTTGAGACCTAGAACATGTAACCGCTCCAGTCCTAGTTTGGTCGAGCATGTTACTACTTGTCTGCAATTAGTGCAGGAACTGTAAGGGGGTCTAAAGTAACTGAGGTAATCACGGACTAAAGAGATGCCAAACTGCATACCAAATCTTCATTGGCACGAGGAAAAAATCACCAAAACTTCACGGAGTAGCTCTCCGGGCATGTCTATTCCTTATTAATGTTTAAAAATAACAATATCCCATAATACTAATTCTACAACAAGAAATTCTATATATTTTGAAAGCATGGAAAAGATGGAGGTAAACTATACGGTAGTAGAGCATTTAACATTACCTTTAGATTATCTTCAAGGATACGTGTAAAATAATTCTGCAACTCAGATCCTCGAAAGTAAGTCAATATCTCCTGCCAATCTGGAGGGTTCTGCAAATGTCCATGAAAAAGGTGAGCTATATTACACAACAAAGTAAAGAAGAAAAGGTAATTGAAAATGTTACATTGAAACGGCCAAGATTTGGTTTCAGCTTTCCAGCCAAGACTTTTAGTGCAGTGGACTTCCCGATACCATTGGTTCCAACCAAACCAAGAACTTGCCCAGGCCGAGGAACTGGCAACCTGCAGCCACATTATCCTTCAATTTCAAACCAGATGAAACAAATTCATAAATTTACAAGTTGGTAAAGAATGAACCTGTGCAATTTGAAGGTGTTGGGGCCATATCGATGCGTTGTATCTTTATCCAAATCCTTTGGCAGATTGATGATTTGAATTGCTTCAAATGGGCATTTCTGAATCATTGGCCAGAACAGTTTGGCTCATTAGTCCATTATAATTACCCATTTACACATCACAATAATTCTAAAACAGTTTATTCATACAGACACACATAAACCACAACTTGTACAAACCTTGACACATATACCACATCCAATACATAGCTCTTCTGAGATAAAAGCAATCTTAGCGGCTGGGGTAACCTCAATACATAGTTTACCTGCAGAGAGATTAAAATTAATGAAGTAGCAAATAAATAACACTCCTAATCAAGAAAATTTTTGCTCGAGTCAATGTTTACAAGCTGAGAAAAAAGATAAAATAATAATAATCGTAATATACAAAGGAGTTGTTCGTAATTCATATAAAAAAAAACATCCAAATGACAAACTTTTTCTATCGTGAAATTAAAAAAAAAAAAAAAAAAAAAAATGAAATCTTCCAAAAAGACTAAGAAAATCAACCTGATAAACGTTCTAATCCGCCAACGAAAAAAAGAGTGAGCAATTATACAATAAGGACAGTGCCGCCAATTTATTAAATACTTGTAAAAATAGAGACGCATTGTGAGCCATTTGAAAGTCAATTACTGTAGCAAACAAATCTGCAAATCATGCACGAAGATAGTTATATGAAATTTCTCGCAATCAAACTTTTGTGGATGTAGAATTACGATCGAAATGAATAAAAATTTCAAGTCTAAATCGCTGGATGGTTGACGACTGTCTTGAAACGTAATTCTACATCTTTTGACAAACGAAAATAGGTTACAGAATAAATTTATATCATCCGGATGACTCCAGATAACAAACTAGTTGATTAGAACTCTACACCTCGCTGAAAACCTTAAAAATCATCAACCCCATAAGAACAACAAAACTGGTATCTGTCGAGCTGAAATACTATTTCCTATTCGTATCCGACAGAAGATCAGATCAACGACATCAAAATCTACAAACCATCACAATCTAATTCTCAATTCCAAACGAATAAGCAGAGAAAGAACATAAAATACCAGTCTTAACAACGGGACAGCTCTTTTTGCATTCTTGACGGCACTTTTTAGGTTTGCACCTATCCGAACTCACTATAGCTATACGCGTCAATCGATCAGCCATCTAATCACTGACGAGAATTACAGAACAATTAGATGCATACAATCCAGCAACAATATTCCAAAAGCAAGAGGAGCAGAGACGCAAATCAAAACCAAAGCATCCAAAAATACTAGGATGGAGCAAACATTAAAAAAAGAGAAAAAAAAAAAAAAAGAACACAAAACACAATATGAAAACTCACCAGAAATGAGGAAATCACAGTGGCGGAAGATTAACAGAT